CAACTCTGACGTGCAAAAGTACTCATTCAGTTGTTTAACCCTTCTGAAAGCAATGGTGTTCTTAAATCATGGCAATCTATTTGCAAAAAATAAAAAAAAAAACCTTAAGCTGTTTGTTTGTTCTTTTTTTTTGTTTCAAAAACAGGCAAGAATTATAGGCCTGTAGTCACCCGGGTCATGTTTAGAGTCATGCTTGCTCTAATATTTCACCATTCTTAGTTAATCAAGAAATATACCGCATCCAAGGATACAATTACGTATACGAGTAAAATGTAGTGAAATAATTTGGGATACAAATTTAATGGACGCTAGATTAAGATCATGGACTCCCCAGCATTATTATTTTAGATATATTATAAGCACTATTGTTTCCTTGAGTATCAGGAGGTAGACCGATCGAACTTGGAAGGGTATTTTCTAAGTATTTTCCATATTCACCAGCTTGACTTATAGATGATAATTTACCAGCGGTTCGAAAGTGTGACTTTAATTTTGTCGCTAGTTGAGGGCCTAATAACTTTTCAATGCCAATTTTAAATTAGGTGAGACAGTTATTACAAGGCTTCAGCCTAATAATTAACCGACTCCGATATTATTTTGTTGATATTATGTGCGTCTGTAAAATTGCGCTGTAAGAAACTTTTTTTTCGAATTTACGCGTTCATTCGATTGCGATGTTAAAAATACAAAAAAAAAAAGTTGTTTCTTGAGCTCGAACAATTCGAGAATAAATGTTATTTTTGCCTTATCCTACAGTAAAACTCTTGCGTTATTCAGAGCTATATAATTTCCTATTTACTATTTTTAACCACAAGGAAAATGATGCCCCATAGTACTTATTAGGGTTTCACACAACACGTTATACGATATTTCTGAGTTCCTTTCACACAAGACATACTCGCAGTTGTGTTCCAGGAATGAATCGTAGCGTTTAGTTAATGTTTCCTCGGAACTGTAACGCTACCTGCGGGGAACCGGTTTATTATTTTAATTAATTAATTACTTTAGTCAAAATACAAAAAAATGGGTATATGATAACTTATTCTAGCGATTACTACTCTAGATAATATATCTTCCGATTGAAAGTTTGTTACGCATAGATCTAATAATGTGGATGAAGTGGATGTTACTCGGGTAGGGGTGCTCATTCTATTGTAGGATGTAAAATACTGATTAAGAGTTACGATTTCTACCTAATGTGTATTTCCTACAAATAAGCTACCCGAAGGAAAAATCCATCACTGTAACCCTGTTTGGCAGTCAATGTTTTCTAGTGGACCGCTGACTGTGCCTGACTGTGCGTCAAGCATGTCTGATTGGCCAACAAGTTACTCTGACCGACAGTCAAACTCCAGTCAGACTCCGCTTGTCGGCTTTCTGATGGTTTCCTGGTGGCAGTCGGCCGCCGCGAAATGCCATCAGCATGTCTTGGTGGCGATTCTGGCTGTACATCGATTGTCTCTGACTGTACGTCAAAAAGCTTTGACGTGCAGACAGACGTACGGTCAAAGGACGTAAAGTTCGTTCGGATACCACTATTTCGTCAAATCTATGAATACGAAAAGTAATCTATGCACGAGAAAACGATTTCGGGACGTGAGTCCATAAAACCGCTGACGTTAGAGATATGACACGCTACCGACCGACAACCTTGATCAGAAGCCCGCCGAAGCGCCGAACACGACACTTCGCTTCGCCCATAGAGACTTCGCCGAGCTTTCATGAACGATCGCTCTCGACTCGTTTTGTTTGCCCGCTTGCTCCAACCTGTCGATCCTGCCCGGGCTCTACAATGTCTTATGTTTTAGTAGAATTTCTACTCCACAAGACCCAGCCTGTTGTGAGTTCCGACGATGTAAGGGACTTTAGCCGTGTAGTTGAAGACGTCAAGGTGTACCAGGTCTACTGGGCCGGTGACGCGCGAACAAAAGGATCGTTCTACGACGCGAAAGTACTCTACATGGCAGGTGAGTAGAACTGAAGTACGGCGAGTGATGTACGAGTGTTTTGCATAACATGCTGACGGCTTAACTGCATTTGCAGCCGTAGCATCTCGTATAAAACGAATGGTCAAATCGAGTTTCCAAAGCGATGGCATAGCACAGAGGTTAAGGTGTCTAATTTGTACGCAAGTGGTCGCGTGTTCGATCTGCGGTGGTCCTGCTTTATTTTGCTTTTTTTTTTCTCGAACATTTTGTTTTATCGAGGCATTTTGCGATATTTATGATTACGTATAGCTTTACTCTTATATAAATGCTGCCCTTGGTGATGAAATTCCCTTGGCAATGGCAGTCAGACGTCATCTGATGGACCATCAGATGACGTCTGATGGTCCATCACGTTCCACCAAGGCTGCTGACTGGCAGTCAGTGTCCCAAATTACGTACCTTGATGGAATTTTCAATAGGGTAATGTTTATGTCCTCACCAATGTGCATGTATTTCCAGCAGAAGTGCGAAACGAAATAACAAGAATCTTTAGACAGATTATAGAGATGCATTCATAACAGGGGTTTGATAAAAATAACCCTGATTAAATTAGTATAAATTAATATACGCATTATCTTTCATGTATAACCCAACACGGCCACCAGTTTCCCAGCATCGACCTCCATATTCACAGCGGTACACATTTAAATAAGCATCAGTGTTACGAAACCAAGTTCCTGTAAGTGCTAAAACATCAAACTTAATTTTCAAAGAATTCACAAAACGCTCAACTTCACCAGCCTTGTTGCGTAAATTACTAGCATTCGAATGAAGGTATTAAAATATTGTTAGTCATGTTGCAACTAGACTCATTAAACGCGGCTACATAAAATAACTGTGACGGATCAGCAATGCCTCGCCTTCTATCACCATACTCACTAATTAGAGCTTTGTTTATTTTCGAGATTTCTTTTTTGCAGAAGCAAAGCCAATCCACCGATTTATCCGTCTGACTTACGGACACCTTGCCGTTCTTTTTCCAGGCGTGGTTCTAAATTTTTTGGTATTTTTTTTTTTTGTTTTTCTTTGCAATACTTTCGTCTAGCAGTTGGTGTTCGTGTTCTTTCTTTTTGCTTGTAATAGTTTTTTTTCTTTTTTGAACACACCATGTGGTTGGTCATTTTGTGTCTGACATGTGCAAGACAAAAAAATCTGAAAAAAGTAAAAATTAAGAGCGAGAAAGTCCTACAGTTTTCGTTGTTTTAATTGTGCAAGGGGAAAATCGAATATCACAGTCCCACATAATAGTGTTGAAGGTAAACATTTCGGTGGACGTCTGCCTGGCTGGGTTAAATGTTATAAATAAATAAAGGGCAAACGCCAACGAATCCCTAAAAGATCGTAGGGTCCCAACGTTTCGGTGCCGGCTCGGCACCTTCTTCAGGGGGGCTATTTAAAAGAGAAGCACCGTCTTTCTTTTCCTCTGCGGTGAATGTAGGGCAGTATTTAGGTGCGGTGAATGTAGGGCAGTTTTCAAACCAGGTGCGGTACCTTCGTTTTCTTCAAAGTTCGTTATTTACAGACGAGGATCAGCATCTTCGTTTTCCTCTATGGTAGTGGCCTGTTTCTATTGTGTCTCCTCTAAGTGCCGTAGTCCACTGATGTATGCTGAGGGCAAAGTGCCAGAGGATCGATTAATATTTCCTGGTGTGGTCTGTATGCGCCTTGACTCAATAAAGAGCCGTTGCCGCCAGTTGGTTTCTACATCTAGGATTCGGGTATTTTTAAAGTCGATGCGGTGGTCATTGTCCTCGCAGTGTTCCGCAAGAGCGCTAAGCTCTCGATCAAATTTCCGGACGTCATTCTTATGTTGGCGGACTCTTTCCTTGAGGTTTTTTGTTTCGCCGACGTATGAAGCGGAACACCGAGCACAGGGAATTTGGTACACAACGCCTTGTGCTTTTTCTTTCGCTGGACGGTCTTTCGGACGAGGCATTAGGCGCCCAAGTGTCGAAACAGGTTTGTGAGCCACCTGAATACCTTTTTTGGCCAGCGTACGAGCCAGATTTTCGCTAGTTCCCTTTATATAAGGTACACAGACGCGGATGTTAGGGCGGGACTGCGTACTATTCTGTGGGTGCTCAAGACTGCGACCAAGACCATTTCGGAAATACGCAGCACCTTCCATCGTCTTTCAACGCACTCCGGATATTTGATGCACGGAATTTTATGAATAGAAAGAACGGTTCTTGTTGGTTTAGCGTTTTCCGATCTCAGAACGGAAAAAGAAAAGAGCGAGATTGTCGATTCACACTGTAGTTTGCTTGCTCTGCTTTGCTTGTCTTCTGAATCCGCAGTGGCTACTAAGAAGGAACTGAGCCTCGTCAAGGATACGGGGCTCGTACTAGTCGGCTTAAGAGTAAATCGGAACGGTTGCAGAATTACCCGGGACCCGCGCGGTGCATTCTGGGTTGACTAGATGCCTTGCGGGCATCTATTCCGCTTTGACGCTTCTTAGGACGAGTAGGCACTTTTGTCGTCTTTGTGTCTGACCCTTGTGTCTGACAGGCAAGACGGACCTTTTATTATATGTGAGATAGTTATACTACGGGGACTAAAACGCGTTTCCGACTGGTATGTTTACAGCGTTCTAAAAACTTGTCCTTCGAAGAGTCATGTTTTCACCGGCCTGAATCCTGGCAGCGTCACAGCAGCGCTGGTGGGCGTGTCAGACGTCTGTTTTGCTACGAAACACTCTTCAGCTTAGCATTTTACGGATGCTTGACACGTCACGAGTTGTCACTCCATGACGACAGCAACACTATTGTTCGGTCGTACTTTCTGCCGGAACATCTTGCCCCTACCGCCAGGATCTCGTAATCCGACAACATGACAGGCCGGCGTTATGTTGTCGGATGACGTTATGTGTTTCAGGACGACTTTTGATATATGCGTGGGATATCACGCTAAACACAAAGGCCAAAGGTGCGTTTCAGACGCCGTATATATACTAGGAACGCGGGTTGTTGACTTTCAGACTTAATATTAAAAGCATTGATTCAGCGTGCCTACCTTAAGGTGTCGTTGAATCTGATGGTTGCAGCGCTGTGAAAAACAATGGACACCTCTGAAGCGAGGCGTTTGTAGTCGCTGGACTTCAGGCCCAAATTTTCCTCTGTGAGGTTGCCTTCGACGGCCACAACCTTGTTCAAGCTCTCTGGATATTCTTGATTCAACCGCTTGAAGCACTAAAGCGGAAGATAACGAAAGAATTAAACGCTCCTACAAGCAAGCCCCTTTTCTAATTTAAAAAGGTTAAAGAGCGCAACACAACAAGGAAAATAAAGACACGAAGACGACAGGACGGGCGCTAACTCACAACTGATTTTATTAGAAACAACACTGTCACTTTTATACACAAGATCGTATGCCAAACCCACACTGCAACCAATCACCACTCTCACAAGCAGCTATCTAGAAACATTACTTCTTTCTGAAGCAAAAAGAGAGAAGGCGTGCTAACGCATTTGTCATCTTTCTTTTTGATATAAAACGCCTCTATAATCTCTCTCTCGGTCTTATCTTTTGATTTCTTTAAAAACTTTGTTTCAGCCAAAAGAGGCTGAAACAAATCAGTATGAACCAACTCGCCCAAACACAAGTTTTAATTCAACATAATCCCTTTTCTAAGAATGCTTTGTTGGCCCAGTGCATGCAAAGCCTGGGGAAGTGAAAGACTGGAAAATCTTATGCTTTCTTCAATAAAAACTTGTATGTCATGACCCCACAAAACAAAATCATTCACATGCACACATTTTTTTTTAAATTTTTTTTCTAGGTAGTGGTTGTTAATGTTTTATTATCTATGCGCAGCACCAACCCGAACACAGATAAACTGCAGTCCTTACGTAGCAGCTAAAGTTTCGGGACCGGCTTCACTCGTGGAATATTAGAAGTCGTTAATGCCCAGCTATGGAACTTTGAACTTTAGTAGAGCATATTTGTGCCGACGACAACGGGAAAAAAGTTTCCGAAAGGAAGCATGACTAGGTCTGGTGTCCAAGTCCGGTGCCCGCTGTCCTATGGGCATGACTAAAACCCACTGAGTTCAAAGTGCTTCAAGCTTAAATGCACAAAGAATTACTAGGTCAAAAGTAAAATACACATAGAAGAGTTATATGTATCATACAGCTTTCGACTTCTCTTTGTAGTTCTTGGCTCTTTTCAAACTAACGATAAATCCAATTGCCCAAATATTCACGTTTTGCAGTAAACAATAGCATTTTCAAATTGTGCATTCAACCGTCACTTTTACTGCCAATCATTTCTCGCAAATCTAACAACATTAGATTTTGCCTACCCACCGGAATCTACATTTTTTACTTCTTTCCTTTCTAAAAACTGCTGTTCTCGGGAGCGGTACATGGTAACGATTATGACTCAGTGTACATTTTCCGCAATAGAATACAAAAGAAAAAACAACAACCTAGTAAGATTTGCAACGTGAGATAGTAATGTATTGGAGTCTATAATTACTCGAGGAAAAGAGAGCTCAAACACATCATTTCCGTAATTATATGTTTTTTTGAAGAATCTAGGCACTTCATAAAGGATTAGTTAAATAAATCTTAGGCACTTTATTTTGATCGATTTAGGTGGGGTTACCTAAAGTCACTGGATCCTGGGAATGTAACGCCAAGCTCCGCGTGTGGTCGCCATCTTGGTCCATGAAATGAGCAATTTCTCCTTGACCCCTCCGTTCTTGGTGAGCCTATCTAGATTCGCTGGTGACGGGTAGCTTTATTGAGTCGTTTTTTGTATACAGAGATTTTGCTAACCACACACACCGGCGAAACAGGCGTACACGTTCGTACCACCACCAGATGCTGTGTCGGTGCTTGGAGGCACTGAAAAATAAGTTTACTGTCTTGAAATGCGCAAGAAGAACAATATAATTGTAAGAGATCCATGGAGATGGGCCTGATTAATAAGTTGATTGCATACGAAGTGCCAAAGACTCTTATATTGGCGAGGAACGCTTCCAGTACGCTGATGCTTCATGGTGATTTTGACGCGACTGGTTTAGAACGACCCCCTGGAAGCTTCGAAGATTTAAATGGACCAAGATGGCGATTTCCATGGCAACGTAGGCCGATTAGCCAATCGCCTCGCGAGGTTTGGGTCGTCTGTGTGTTAGTATCCGTTTGTGTCTGGCTAGCAGGTAGGGAAGGCAACGGCGCTACTTTCCCAGGATCCAGTGACTTTAGGGTTACCAAGCCTGCATTGAAAACGATTTGTGGGGGGTGCATACTAAAAATTCACACGATAAAGAAAGCGCACTCATAGGTTTGCAGTTTTTCGGCTCTCAAATGTAACATAATCTGTTTTTATCCCAAATTGAGCACCGATAATATAAAATGTGTAGGATTTGAGTTTCGTTCAATAATGGTTTGTCCTCAAAGAAGTCGCCGTGTGATACACTCTATCGGGAAAAATTTTAACTTTTACTTTTTTTTAACATTTATTTGACTAATAGGTTCATTTCGCTGAAGGACTGACGTAATGATCACTCTCAGTACCACGAGGGTGCACATTGCAAGTTTTTAAAGTAAGGATTCACAATCAAAACTTTTATTTTGCGCGTAACAATTGCGCAAAGTGTTTCATTATATAGTTTCAGCAACTACCTTTATTGAATATAGTTTAGAAAAGTCTTAAATACTTTTCGAACAAGGAGTTGAGCACTTTAGAGTTGACAAACGTTGTTGTTGTGTCTTGACAACTAACGAAACCATCTTCGAACAATCTTATCAAGGATAAACTTCCACAAGAAATACATTTCATAATAATTCAAAGCAAGAAAGACCGGATAAAACCTACTTGTGGGACATCAGACGGCATAAGTACAGTACAGAGAATATACCTTTGAAATCTGCAAACTGCAGCACCATCGTCAAATACCTTCAAAGCCACCTCTAAGTACCAGGTTTCTTCACACCGACTGTCTGTTTAGTAGAATTTCAGGTGAAACGTCGTAATCTGCTTTCACATGCGTGGTGTTCTTCTAGGCGTTACACACAGATTAAAAAAAGCCGTCCGAGTTACACAAATGCGGTCTGTACAGGTGCGCTTTACAGTCAGGGGGCATAGTATAAGAGGATGATTGCCACAATAGGTTTGTTAACCTTTCAGTTCGTGAATAAAAACATGATTCTAATCACAGACTTGCTAAGCGTCATCAAAAACTTCTAAATCAGTAAATTTTAGAAGTATTGTGAGCCCCTGAGAAGAGGGGCTGTGCGCTTAACTTACCAATCGTGCAACAAGCGCAAGGCTGTGTGTACAAAAAATACCCGCGCGATTTTCCGTCTCTCGCAATTCGCCTTTTCAGACCGCCAGCTTTGCACCTGTTGCACAAGAGGTAACTTTAGCAAACCACGCTGCTTTTCAAAAGCTCCGAACCTTTCTCAAGATATCTGATTTCGTGGTTTTCGCTGATATTCAGCATGTTTCTAATTGAATCCTGGTAATTTTCACTCATTAAAAACTTAATTAATAAGAGTTAGTTATTTTACCCATCATTACGATTAGCCCCCTATAACATATCCCCCTTGCCGTGTAACTCACCTGCACAAACCACATTAATGCAGCGTTTACAGATCTTTTAAAATAAACCTGCCAAGCCTAAAATGAAAACACGCTGAATATATGTGAACCGCAATATCCCGAGAGATGTTCTACTGATGAATGCTAACACACATCTATTTTTGGCTTGTTTCTTTACTTCTTTTAAACACCGAAAGATAGCCCACTCCTAGTAATCGTAGTGTTCGGTTCAGTTGTGTCCTCGGCATAAATCCGGCCTAGGTACATATGGCGGGATAAAAGCGAACACTGCTGACTGAGAAGTACAGTCATCTTCGCTTCATTGTCCCTAGGCGCGATAAGAAATTTGTCAGAAAAACAAGATCTAAAATTATTGTTTTTTTCAGCTTCCCTTGATTTTACACCAAAAGTTTACCCACTTCTTATTTTTACCCGATTTACTCTGAATTTCAGGTCGGCTATCTCTCGGAATGTTACGGTATACCACATTAGCTTGTCCTCGCTGAATAATTACAGACGCAATTTGTTTACTGCATATGTTAGGTAGGGGGGGGGGGGGGGGGGCAAGAACAATCTTTCTTGGCCAACTCTTTTGGGCACTAGTAAAACGTTATTCTGCTCATGGTATGCTGATGCATGTGTAAGTATTACATGATCCAAAATACAGTAAAAATAGCTTATTTCTACGGCGACTACTTTTGTACTTCACTCTCCTACGAAATGTGGCTGGTATAACATTTCTTAAACGTGCCAAGAGCTACGATGGATATGGTTACATTTATTAAAGCTTTGCGTTCCAGCAACTATTGAAAGAGTACTTTGAACCAAAAGAAACCTTACTCTCGTGTAAATTTAGAAAACACTGATTCCAAATTTCTACCTTACCTCTGACTTTACAAGAAATTCAAGCCTTCCTGCTGGACTCTCGTTTTTATATGGGCGGATCAACAGGTAAATCCGCCTGATGCCTGGGCATGATCGCAGCAATTTCTCAAGGAGAGCCTAGACACAATCATTCACAACAGTAAGCCAGAGATTGATACAAGCTTAAATACCATACTTAAGATATGAAATGGAAACCATAATTCAAATGAAAGATCAACTCAGCCCTGGCAAAGAAAGCGCTAGGTATCCGAAATGTAGATAAAAAGAGAACCCTAAATGTCCTACGAAGGAAACCTTTTTTTTCAAATGCAGATTTTACTGCCTCCAGTGTTAATTATATTTTACTTTCTTTTCACGTCTTTTTTTATGTCGCAAGTGATGTGATAAACTACCATTATTATGTTCAGAACGCACTACACACCCGTAGAGAAAAGTTTGGTTTTGGGCCTAATAATGAATACAGGAAACTTTTGTCGAACATAAACCTTAGATATTTTATAGATCGAGTTGTGTACTAGCAGCATTTGCGGCTCGCTTTGTTTTAAGAAAATAAAAAAACGCCATATATTCTACAGACATGTATTGCTAGGCACAAGAAGGTTTTGTTACAACTGGAGAAATTCTACCTTAATTGGACATTTCTTTATGTTCTACCTATTTCATTCCTCAAAAGTACACAACAGTACGACGCTTAAAAACAATTAGCATTCGCTAATTGATTCGGTGCACAGTATGCACTAGGTGCATTGTCCGCACCTGGTGCAAAGTCTTTACTTAAAACAATTTTTATACAAATCTCATATAAAAGTGCCCTTATTAGCGCTCAAAAATTATTGTATCATGAAGAATCATAATCCACAAAATGTCTAATTGCCAAATTGCGTCACGTCTCGACTTAAGCAACTATCATAATAAAACAGTCTGCATAGTCTACTCGTATAGATTTTCCGCAACAAGTACAAATTCAGCTACTAAACGTGAGTAGTCTGCGGACTAGAGCCACACAAATACGGTCTATAACTTGGTAAAGCTGGCTAACAGCCGGTGCACCAACAAGTTTTTCAATGGAACATCCACAGGCATGGTACAAACTATATACAAAACGTTCACCGGCAAAATACTTGAAAGACGAAAGTAATAATTTAGTGTTCAAATATTTAACAATTTCAGACCAAGTGTTTATTACACGCGCTTAAAAATAATTTACTTGCTTTCACCTTAAAGTCCTGTCTGACGGCACCAAATTTGCTTTCTGTCTAGATCGATGATTTCCACAAAAGCTGATAGAATCGTGAGTAGAATCTATGAGTCATGTTGGTTTCATCATTTAGGTTTATGTACCGTTATCTGCAATCTTGCATTCACTTTAATACAGATAAATTTAAACGAGGTTGTCATGCAATCTATTTTTATGCTTTCATACAAAAGCCTTGGATCTTTTTATAAGCAAACATGCGTTTGGCTGACTGCAACCAATTTTCAACAATGAGCCCATTACGTAAGAAACCGTTTTTATAAGTACTCGTGTGCTAATATTCGCGCGCAAGGTATTTTTACTAATAAAATAAAGAGGTGTAATCACTTAATTGCTTTTATCCCTTCAGGTGATTCACTGAAGTGCATGTACCCACCTGTCCAACGAATCCAGTCGCACCTGTTATAAAGATTACTTCGCCTTCATAGAAGCTCTGCACCTGCGAATACTTAGCTTCTTCTGGCACTGAAACAGTACGTTTGGTTACAAAGTTTTCTTACTAAACGATTGTTCGAGGCACTTAATAATTTCTGTCCCTTAAGGCGAAATGTGTGCTTTAAAAATAATGGAAGTACACAAGCAAGTAAGTAGAAAACTCAGCTATCTTACACCGCACAAAATGGATCAACTTTCCGTTACTTACACACATTGATAGAACAGTAATGGACTTAGACTGGCTGATATGGAAGTGTTGAGTTGAATCATGAGGTGAAAGCAACGTAATTTTTCTTTCAGTCTTTAAGAGCCTTTGGTCCAATTTATAGTGCGAATATGACACAGAAACTAAGGTCCAAATGTTCAGAAAATGTCCAAGACAAAATTTTTGTTCCATGAGTGGATTAATCAAAAACTATTGTGTGTATCTCCGAAATCCCCTGATTCTTCGCAAAAAGAAAAAAAAAGCGAATTATCCTTTTTGTCTTAGCACATTTTAATTTTTTTGCCGCTTTTTTAGTTTGATGCGTGTATTGATGATCTACGAATTTTGGCGATTTAGGCCCATCGTGTGTATTGCTATCCTAGAATTTTGCGGGCTTTGAGGTTTTTCAGAGGCTAAGACACAATCTGCGCGTTCTGAATCTCCCAACTCAATATGAAGAGTTAAAGTGAGCTGCAACATTCTCGCATTAAAATGTGACGTGAGGTCACGTGGCGTGCTCATGCGATCGCAGCGCAACGTGAAGACATGCGACAAGCTCATGTCACCCTGTTGGGATGACGTCACGAGAAGAGTTGCATGCGTCACAATTATGCAGATCTAGTAAATAACGTGATACCGGTAGCGGTAACTTCATTGCGGAGCTATAGCCTAAAACCAGATTAAAAGTTACTTTGTTCTCTTGGTAACAAAGTGTTCTATATGCATATCCTTTATCCGGATTGCAGGTTCCTCTGCTTCTTTAGCAGAGGCTGTGGGAACTTCAGAACGATGAGCTCTGATTGGTCCTGGTCAAAGGATAGTAAGTAGACCTCAAGGCAGCTTTGCTTTCAGGTATGCTGACTATTATTCAGTCAGAGCAATCAGGGCTCAGCGTTTTGACGTCACCACAATTTCAGCAAAATAAGCAGACGATCTTGCCATCCGCATAGGGCCAGCCTCAGGGATGTTCTGTCCGTGGCACGTAGCCTCAATGACGTCACAGTATCACGTGACATCGCGAAACTTCTGTGTCCTGTGACGTCAGTGTCACGTGATACTGTGAAGTCACGTGACGTCATGATTTCAAGTGACACAGCCAGAACTCCTCTACTCCACATCCCGACCTTGTTGTCCATACTATCGAAAGTTCCACCTCCCAACTTCTGACTTGCCTTCCAAATTTATGCTTGTCTCTTGACGATATGCATGAAGCTGCCCGACTTATCCGGCCCTCCCACTGTGCTGGGCGTGACCTGCTCGCCCCTGGTTTCATCGTGTCCCCATTCCCTTATCTATATTCCTTCTTGCTCTCACTTTTCAATCCTTTCTCGACCACTCCTACGTGCCCGCCGACTGGAACAAGGCCCTTGTGACAAGAGTTCACAAGGGCAAAGGGAAACCCGTCAACGAACCTCCCAGCTACAGTTCCACACTCTTAGAAAAACGGGTATGGATAGTCCTCCCTTAGGGGAGGAACGGTCTTGTAACCTATGTTCCTTTAGAAAGGGAGAAACGTTCGTCCCTGAAGCAGGGGAGCAAAGTTCCTCCGTCGCTTGCATCTCAATATGGCGGCCCCGAATCGAGCAAATCGAGCCCAACAAGGCTTAACAGGACGCTACGTCTCCTGTACGGGACGAGAGCAGCAGCAAATGAAAGCGTAACACGAGCTTTCCGCAAACTGTGTTTATTTCCGAAGCCAGATTCCCCCCACGGGTACAGAAACCTGCGTTTCGAAAGCAGTTTCTCAGTCTACTCGTCGACAGCACTCCGATGTTAAGCGGAGACAACCGATACCCAGTTACTTCGCGCACTTTGCGTCTGACCTTTAGTGTTCCTCGAGTCACAATTCCTTCGTCAACCGCACATCACGGAGAAGGGCAAACTCACTCCGCGAAACCAAATACCGCTCTCGAAAGAACATACTCGAAGCCGCTGTTTATCGCGTAGCGTGAGAAGGTTAAATCGCTAGCCACCAGATGGCGGGGTCAAGCAGAGTAATTGCAAGTAGCTAGGATAGGTGGCGCTAGGTACCGCCCGATTCATGTTCTATAAAAAATAATTTGCTTCTGTCAGGCCACTACTGCGCTTGGGGATCCTCTACTATACACACATTACGCTTATTACAAGCATCAGGTGAACAAACATTGATCACATACACGGCACACCCAAACATAAACACAACGGAACACCACAGTAACCCGAACACTACACCCGTGCTCTGCGTCTCCGTCTTTTATACTGGTCGTTTTGAACGTACGGAACTTTTCGGTGACTCCCTAAGCAATAAAAAATATTCCCAGCATGCTGATTTTTTTCCAGCAATGTCATAGCTCTGAGAGTATCTTGAATGGCTCAGGGGATGAATCTCTTACTAAAAAGTAAACGCTCGATCATGCCGTAATTATTTGAAAGCCAATAAATCAAGCCACTCCAATGCGGTTCGATGCCATGAGTTTGTTTCCCCACACGGCACGTCGTAGCCTGTATTTCTATTGGTTTTTCTATTTGTGCTGTTCGCGCAAAGCTGCAATTGCCGTCTTGAATTAATCTCTGTAGAGCGGATATTCACTCAGCTTGAAGTGATGCTTCACGGGCTGAGAAATCGCTTTTCGATCAACTTGAATGCAGTCAAAGCTGCGACTTGCGGCAGGTGTTAAGTGTACGGAGCTACGCCGTGGCGAGCCCGAAAACTTCTAGCGCTCATCCCAGCGCGCCACGGAGGGCAGTCTCTCCAGGAACCGTAGTATATTTAAACAAAAAAATAAAGGGTAGGTTTTTTTTTTTTTTTTTTTTTTTTTTTGATTTGACTTTTAATTGTTTTTAATACCGAAATTTCATACTGTAAATATACGTACTTTCCGTCACGATTTCGTACTGTTCAGTCCTTGCCCCAGAGTGCAATCGCTCTCGGGGACGAGACAATTCCGACAGTCACATTGACCACTGTACGATAGGAGCTTCTACGGTTCAGATCAGCGTTCCAACATGACTATCCCCACGTTGATCGATTGCACGTAATCCCTCAAGTGGTATTAAACTTTTTAATGTAAAGCGGAATGTCAACCTACGACACCCCGCCCCCTCCGATCAAGGCCCGACCAGCGTCATCAATGCCCAACAGTTTACGATCTCATCTTCGTTACACCACTGATACGCGAACACACGGTCACATCGGCGATAATTCCAGTCTTCTGTTCACAACCCACAACACTGCCATTATGATGTTGCAGCTATGTTGTTGACACGCACAAACACAGAACCACGTTGAACGCCGGTTGCACTCGGCATCGGAAAGCAGAACCGAACTCAGGGGGGAAGGCACCCAGGCAGCCGGCAGCAAAACCTGCCTGTCTTGCACGCAGTTCCTGCGGTTTCCATAACGTCGAAAACGTCGACACAGTTCCGCGTGGTTTCGCTACTGCAGTGACTGTAGTGCTGTAGTTCTGTGCCGCGCGAGTCCCGCAATCCGGAGACGGCCATCCCCCAGTGTACGTGGCGCTGCTGGCACTGCTGCGGAACTTCGCTGTTTCTAGCAGCTTCGTTTGCTCGCTTGATAAAATTAGTGATAAAAACGTTCATAATTACTTACAGCGCGACTGGGACAAGGACAGACAGACAGAGGAGAAACACAGAAACACAGGACAAGCGCTGAACTAGCAACTGATTTTGAGGGGAATCGGTGGCCGAGTGGTCTAGCGCACACCAGCTCGGAGCACGTGGAGCGAAAGCTCGCGCTGCAGAACCCAGGGATCCTGGGTTCGAGCCCCACCCCTGCCCGTTTCGATCTGGATGAGCATCGTACCGGCGTGCGGTCGTGTATCACTACTGCGTGATGCACGTTAAAGACCCCAGGCGAGCGGCTGTACCGCACTGGCTAAATTTCTCATCTACAGCTGGGAGACTCGTCGCCCCCTGTGAGGCAGACCAAGTTCTAGGCTGTATAAACACACACACAACCCAATTTTAGCAACTGATTTTATTGAAAAGAAAAGACATGTGATGCTGCTGCTGCTCGTGCAGGCATGCCCCTCCGTGGCCCTGGCGCTTCTTCTTTCACTCAATGCGAAACCGGCCAAGTTATCCGAGATCCAAAAAGCCGATCTCGCTCTTGATCAAAGTCACTGTGGGCTGGCTCACACACAAGGATCCGGTTTTTGTTATGTGGTACGTCTCCATCATTTCTCGGGGTAGTTTGTGGCTGTGTCGGAACATCACTGTTGTTTTGTTGAACAGGGGTTGGCATCCGCAATCCCGGCAATGCATCGCGAGATGCGTGTGAGCGGTTCCTTTCATAGAACTGTGGTGTTCTCGTAGTCTTATGTTGAGGCACCGCCCAGTCTGTCCTATGTAAGCACGCCCGCAGGAAAACGGAATCTTGTAGACCACGCCTTCTATGCAGGCGACAAACTGCATTCCGTGTTTGATGCTGCAGCCGCTGTGAGACTTAGGATCGTTATTTCTCGCGCGTTTGTTGAGTGCGGAGCACACGTGAATGTTGTTTTTTCCGCCCGCCACAAGCTCAGCTCTGTGTGCTCCGCAGTCAACAAACGCGCGAGAAATAACGATCCTAAGTCTCACAGCGGCTGCAGCATCAAACACGGAATGCAGTTTGTCGCCTGCATAGAAGGCGTGGTCTACAAGATTCCGTTTTCCTGCGGGCGTGCCTACATAGGACAGACTGGGCGTTGCCTTAATATAAAACTACAAGAACACCACAGTTCTATGAAAGGAACCGCTCACACGCATCTCGCGATGCATTGAAGGGATTGCGGATGCCAACCCCTGTTCAACAAAACAACAGTGATGTTCCGACACAACCACAAAC